CGTCAATACAACACTCATCGGTGGCGCTCGAATTAAAAAAGTTGGCCATCAATTGACTCCTTATAGAATATACAGGTTTTTCACCGAATTTTGGCATTTCCGCCTATAATCTTGAATCTACATATTTAGAGAGAAATTAATTGTAAACAACAAAAATGAACTACAAAAATACATATGTGGCTGAAACCATCAATTGACTCATTGAAGCGGTCTCCCTTAAAGAACAATGAGCTGTCATATTGATGTTCACTAAATTGACTCAAATTCTTATATTTGATATGTAACATAATTGCACATATATGATCATATAACCAAATTACAAAAAGCCCAAAAGAAACAGTTTACAATACATGGACTCGTTAAATTGTATCCGGCAGAATTTTGTGCGTATTTAAACTAGTCACCATCCAATTAACCATCAAAATCACAAGCACTTGCCTATAAAGTATATAAGTAATTTTTTCAGAGACAAGTGCCTGTGATCAAGATGACGTCCGAAGGCTACCGATGGTCATATGACCCGGTATAAGCGTAAATATAAGTGAACAACCATTAAACTTAAAGGGGTTATATTTTTTCTATATTGGTTCAAGGATTTGTATACAATACAAATCCTTGATTGGTTTGGATTTTTTTTCTCTACTACAATCAAGCCAAATTATATTTTTTTCTTTTCAAGCCTCAGGGCGTATAAGGCATGTTGTTCTTGCATGTGAAATCACCAGCAGTGAACATGGCTTTATAAATTTATCGCACCGCGGGTAAATTATCACGTTGTGATTGATTTAATGCCGTCACGTGGTGACCCCTATGGGTCCGTAGGGGGTTAGTAAATTTCATAGGGGGTTCATGACGTCACGTCTACTGTTAATGGTGACGTCACCTATATTAATGTTGTGTTTCATTGCTTATTTTTCTACAAAACGCAGCAGACAAAGTCCCGCGTGCGATAAATTCGTTATACGGTTCACTACTGACCCCCTACGGACCATAGAGGGTGAATAAAATCCAAAGGAGATTCGGCCTTCGACCTCACCCCCTATGGATTTTACTAACCCTCTATGGATCCGTAAAGGGGTCAGTAGCGAACCATATAACTTATAATATGTTGACATTCTCGAGACAGGTATCATTTTATTAAATATCTTTTATATATAGCATAGAGTTTATTTGAAAGCAAATATCTTTGCCAGTATGCAAAGTTTACAAATGTATCTGCAACGCGAGTAGGCAGACATCGGAGCGGATCCATGGTATGAGGAAAAGGGGATACATAATTGGAAAAAACCAAAAACAATGTTGAGCGTAGCTAGTCGAATTTTAATTTGACGATTTTAAAAAAAAAGGTTTTTTTTCGATCAAAAGAGGGGGGCTTACACCCTCTACGCCCCCTGAATCCGTATGCTGTGACAATATTAAACCATACTGACTGCTAATTGCGAAATATTATTTCAATATTTGGCTTTTTCAAATGCCGTAACTTGACACGAATGGTACTTTATTTTGTGAACCATTTTTCGATGACCACAATTACTAATTATAGAACATAGTGTTTTAATGCAAATAAGTGTCTAATATCTTGAAAACTGTAGTAAACAGAAAAAAATCTGGCATAGGCTAACATGCCAAAAGTCAAGATCTTTGGCAAATTCATCAAAACTATCAGATAACATTGCCCTTTAATTGTGATTTTATGAACCTTTAGAGTACGTCCACCTATCATTTTTCGACATTGAATAACTAATTAGTAAGTTAAAAAGACAGAAATCTTTATTTAAAGTGTTAAATTCGAGTATATATATGTAAGATTCAGATCGACGTCCGGTCTCTAATCGACGTCCGTTCCTCAAATCGACGTCCAAATCTGACGTCACAAAGAAATAAGATCCTAATCGACGGCCAAATTTTATGGCCCTCTAATCGACATAATTTTTGTTGTTCTCAAATCGACGCCCAATTTTTGGCTTCTCTTATCTTTTATGAACTTGCCGCAATGACGTCATAAATTTTACGACTTTTAACATATTGTGTGCGGCAAATGAAATAAGTTATCTTATAAAAAAAAAATGTTTTCTAAAATTTATTGTCGATGCAAACAGATTGTGATAACAATTTTAAAATTTAAGAGATTATATAAAAATAAGGAGATGTGGTATGATTGCCAATGGGACAACTATCCATCAGAGTTCAAATGAAGAGGATGAAATAGAAAACTAACGGCCTTATTTATAACAAAACAATTCCGAAAAACAAATATGACAGACATAAACCAACGACAACCACTGAACTATATAGCTACAGGCTCCTGCATTGGGACAGGCACATCAAGCATGAGGCGGGGTTAAACATATCAGTTGTGAGCACTTAAACCCTTCCCTAACCTGGAACAGTGGTGTAACAGCACAACATAAAAACATAATTCCCATTTCTTTTGTATTTGTTTCACTCCAGGTGTAAAACTCAGAAATTTTTTGAAAAATATCTTACAGTCCGAATTATAATACTCTCAAAACATTGTCTGTACTTCTTTGTTTTGTCTATTGAAGATTGAATGTTGCACTCTAGATGTCGTTTGGTTTACTTTGTCGTTGGGTTGTTTTCTCATTGACGTATACTCACATGTCATTTATTACTAGTAATATGAATATGAATGACATACGACAACGTAGATCGATTGGATTAACTTCTATCAAGATAAATATTAATATGCACTTTTATTTTAGAGCTATTTTCTTATGCTTGTAGTTTAAAGGTTTGGTTGCCTTGCTTGCTTTGTTTGTATAAATGTTTGCTCAAGCATTGTAATTAAGATTGACATCTGCAATCAATAGATAGGCGGGGCTTCAGCTTGTATCCATTATACTTCAATGTTATTGGGTGTTACGTATAATGAAGAGTATAATGTATACAAGCTGAAGCACCGCCTATTTATTGATTGCAGATGTCAATCTTAATTACAATGCTTGAGCAAACATTTATACAAACAAAGCAAGCAAACCACCCAAACCTTGAAATTACATGCATTAGGAAAATAGCTCTATAAGATGTCGATGGTTGTCTTGTCATTTATCGATGTGAGTCCTTCTATTTTGTTTTAGTTGATTCTGTGGGAAGAGATGTAACAGACTTTGTTGTTCCTTCTCATACGTCTACGAAGTCATTACGATTCGTAATGTATAAAGACAAAACAATACATATGATATAAATAAAGATCAATCTAAAAACAATAATACTGCATCGGAAAGAAATCGACCTTATGCAAATTATTATCAATACATCTGTTACCTATTTCGGGTTGAAATTATCTCTATGGAAAGTCTGTAACTGTTTTAAAAAATTGAGTTGTTATAAGACTTATAAGAACCCTACAAATCAGACCAAAATTCATCTTTTATTTCGTATTTGAATGTTCCAAAATCAATCAAAGTCTTTTATATGTACATGTATACGTGCAGTAATTGTATTATTTATTGATATTGGACATCGATTAGAGAAGACTACAGTCGACCGGACGTCGTTTTGGCAATACATGACGTCACATTGAACGTCGATTAGAGTGTCAAAATATTGGATTTGAGGATGTGATATCAGATTTGTTTGGACGTCGCTTTGAGGAACAGACGTCGATTTGAGGAACGGACGTCGATTAGAGACCTGACGTCGATCTGGGCTTAACATATATATACCATCAACATAGATCAAGAGCTCTTTTACCGACTGATATATAATAACATAACAGGATCAATCATTGAATAGCAACAGATCCATATACAGCACACCATGCAATCCATACAAACAGCACATACTATCCACACAAGTAACACATGTCAATAAATAAAAAGCACATGCAACATATAAAGCAAATTAGCATATTCAAATAAACACATACATAAGAATGCCCACTACCCATTAAAAAATAAAGCATTAGTAGAAGCACAAGCATATGTCTGTGTTCAAAATATGAATAAAAAATTTGCCACTGCACATTGTCTGTTCTATATAGGAATTCTAACCCTGAGTTTTCTATCTGTTACATGAGTTTATTTACATGCCAAGAAATCCTCGCTCAAAACTCCGGTGGACCTCCTACGGCACCCATTACTGAGTAGTTAAAGATTTGATTTCATTCAACAAATTGATTTATGACCTGCATGTACGTGTCGCTTAGAACACGGCCATGTACCAAATGGTCATTGTTAATCATCCGAGTAATTTGCTCTATGGGATGTTTGCAAAATTTCAACGGAGGCAATTTCTTGGCATGGTGTACGTATATCCCCGAGGAACACCTTTGTATCATTGTCTTTAAAACAGAAATCATTGAGAGAAATTGTAAACAGAGAAATTGATAGACAAGCAAATAGTCTCATTGATGACTTCTATAAGTAACTGCATTTGAATACACCTTATCGCTATTTGTCCGCCATTACTGGACATCACACAAGTTCCCGTAAAATTTTGACGTCATAATAGAAAATATCTGACGCCACAATGGAAAAGTGATTGTTGTATGACGTCAAAAGTTCGAGCGGGACTGATTCTCGGGTCAAGCGGGATTAGCGATAAGGTGTATTGCTCTTTTTCTTTAAAAAAAAAGGGGGGGGGCTTATTTAGTTAGGACAAGGCCATTTGATTTCCCGGTTGGGGAGGGGGGGGGTTAAAAAATTGATATCCTGGTCTGGTCAGAGCTGAAAATAAATAACCTTGTATATGACGCGATGGAAACGAATATTCGGCAACACTAACTACAGGAAACGATTGTGTACAAAAGTGAAAATAAATCTTCACGCGGCAAAATATAAGAATGGTAGAGCAACCGTCAAAAACTCCTCCCTCCCCCCCAGAAAATCCAATGGTCGTTCTCTTATCAAAGCAATCTACCCTAGAACCTCCAGTAACATGTGCTAGGTCTGCAGAACTGCAGTCCTTGGTCTCTTAGGTAGTGCTCCTATTAGGAGGAAAATACTAAGGTACAGTAGAATCTCCAGTGTGGAGGCGTTTTTTGGAAAATGCAGGACGACGTGATTTATGGAATTATACTGGTCGTGTCATTTGGCATCGGACTATTTGTTCGACAAATAACAGACCCAGAGAGAAAGAGACTAATATGTAGTATAGCAGGCGCTGTTCTTGCTGTTGTAAATTGCCACGTACATATTTACCACTCCCTGGTATTGGTCATCGGAAGTTGTCTACTGATAAAAATCTGTGGACCCAGGTATAAAAAAAGGAGTTAATATGGGTTTTTGGGACCATTTATTCGAAATTTCAAAGCTTGGTATAGAAAACCATAAAGATGCTTCAATATCTCTTCAATTTTGTTTGGTTAAAAGCAGTATTATACCTTAATTGGTCTATCTCACTATATGTCAAATAGTGAATTATACCTGAATTGAGGTATAATGCACCAATTAGTGGTTATTAATGACCTGAAAAATGTAGCAGCCACCACATGTTGACCCTGCTTTCCAAATTATGTGCTGTCTGCTTATTTCCTTGTTCAGGGAAGTGGTGATTCTGTTGGTAGCTTGACATGCAGGATTTTCTATTGACGAGTATTGTGTGCTATACTTTTACAACATATGATCTAGATGGGCATAAGACATCTAGGGGGAAGATGAAGAGAATTTGTATACATGTATTGGTGTAAACTGATTCACCCAACCTGCCAACAGAACCCACGAATATTTTCATTATAGAATATAATTTTGATATTTATCATGTTTATAGTGTCTATATGTGTTAAATTATAACAATGCTAGTATTAAATGAAGTTTTGTGCATTTAAAAAGGATTTGTTAAAATTCATCCATTGGAATATTTATTTTCTTAGGTGTAGATCATGTGTAATCTTTGAAGCATTTGTTGCCAGTTAATTGTGAATAAAAAAGTGATGTATATTGTCAAAGAGACAGCAATATAAAAACATAATAAAACCTCATAACACATCTGTGATAGGTCAATACACATTTATTTACAATCCTCAACAATAGATTTATACCCTATTTCAAGCTCTAAATCACCCATAGTCTAAAGACAATTTGTAAATATATTTAAAAACAAGAGTATGAAAGATCTGCTATCAAAACAAACGGCAAATTCCAAAAAAGGACCAACCACTGAGGGGGATAGCCACATTTACATGTTGCAGGCTTAAACTAGCTAGTTTTTGTCTCATCTGCTACTTAAAGTACATTTTACATGTCTATCTGACAGGCTAAATCTGATCTTGACCTCATTTTTGTTGATAATTTTCAATTTATGAAAAACCTTGATCTTTAAATTTTCAAACTTAAAATTAAATCATATTGATTACAGTAGGCAAGACACTCCAGTATGTGACTCTTGTTTTAAGTAGCGGTACTCAGTTGTTAGTTATTCATGGATAATGGAGTAAATTTAATCTCCTAATTAGCATTTCAAATTTTCAGGTTATACATGAACTATCAATCTGTAACTGAAATATTCATTTGTTTTTACAGAAAATGTCAGCTGTATGGATATATATGGTGTTTTGGGTACCTTGTTTTCTTCAGAACTTGCCATCATTTTGGTTTACCTAAGCCATCACCAGTGTCCAATGCATTGCAGTTATTTTTAACATTGAAGGTATGTTGTTGCATAAAAAAATCCTTAAGTTTCCAAGGTAAACCTTATAAATATTAAAGAACAAACATGTCATCTACATTCAATATACTGGTACAACATAAACTGTTTTAACTTAAAAAAAATAATTTCCCAATTGGCCACAAATTTCACATAGATATTCAGAATAGACCAGAGGATAGAGTTCAGTAGACATGGTAGACACTCAGATCAAAAGCCTACACAGGAGTTGACCAAATCAAAAACACACAAAACATGATTGATCAGGTAATGATTTAAAATATCTTAATTGGTTGTTACATGTAGCTCACATAGGCTGAATGGCTATTATGAGCTGTTGCCATCACTTGGCATCAGTGACCTGTCTATTGGCTGAAACAAAATTGACACAAACCTCAGCCATAACAATCCTAATGATCTTTAATTTCAAAGTATGTCTAATCGCTTTTCTCTATGTTTCTAAAGCTCATCAAATAAATTTTATATTTTCCTACACTGTACAAATATTGTGTATTTATCTTATTTTGTAATTTTGGGTTCTTAAGTTGCTGTCTATTTATTAACCTCATTGTGGATTGTAAGAAGGTGTTTTGTTATAGGTTTAAATAACCAACAGGAACTTCCTTGACAGGTAAAAGAATATTTAGGAAATTATCCTGATTACACTTACTTCCTCCAGCTGACATTGCACTATTACTAAAAAATATGAAATGAGCACATTCATAATAGAAGGTCACTTTGGGTCGTGCAATTTTTCTTCAACCTAAGCTACTTTTTTTAGGTAGTCAATGCTAAACATTACATTATTCTATAAATATAATTCCAGTTGACATACTTTTGTCATAATTATGGCCATTGATGTAGAATTTTCATTATAATAAAATAATTACCTCTGTTGTTAGCCCCCTTAGCAGATGTTCAGCTGGTATCAAGTTTATAATAGGATAACGAGAATTTACAAATTACACAACAGTTTCAGGTGCCTCGGTGGCCGAGTGGTCTAAGTAGTTACTACTGTAATCACTAGCCAGTCAACACTGAGGCTGTGAGTTCCAACCCGCTCGTGCAGGTGCACTCGACTCCAATCTTAATTGACTTTGGATTGTCAGTTTTCCTATCGAAGGTCGGTGGTTTTCTCTGGGCACTCCGGCTTCCTCCACCAATAAAAACTGGCCGCCACGAAATAGCCCAAAAGCGGTGCTTAAAAGTGGAGTTAAAACACCAAAAATCAAAATCAAATCACAACAGTTTCATTATCATGATTAGTTTTTGCATATGACCATTTCAATTTTTATACTGAAGCTTTCAGCCACTGTCAAGAATATCATACTGCTATTTGATATTTAAAAGTTTATTTGTACTCAGATATGATATTTGTGTTGAACTGATTGATATAATTAAGATTTAATGATGGTTTTGGGACTTATCTATTGATATTTTGTACACAATTGTGTACTGTCATGCAAGTTTTTTTCTGATTTATCTACTTTCAGACTTATTGCATTCATTTTGATTATATTTTTGTATTTTTGCTGTCTCATTCAAATAATCCCTTTTTATTCAAACCCTAATCCAGAGCAGACCCAATCAATAAGCTAATACAAAGCCCGGAAATTTAAGATTTATTTCACATAATATTAATTGTGTTTTATTAGTAAGACAAAGTTAAGACTTATTTTACTCTTAAGATAAGATGATAGTGGCAATGAGGGATATGTTTTGTAAGGAAACACTTTACTGCCACTGGTGGGAAATTGAATTAAAAAAATCATATAAATAGTATTTTGATATGTATGATTATATTTGTGAGATTGTTTTGTATATGTAAGGGGAACTAAGAAAATGTTATTTATTTTCAGCTGGTTGCATTAGGGTTTGAGATACATGATACTCATGAGCTGTCTAAGAAGGGTGATACTCCAGAAGAAGAATCGACTTTACAGAGAAAGTACAGAAGTATTTACCCATCATCAATAGATATACTACAATATTCATATTGTTATATAGGACTGTTTACAGGTCAGTACAATGTTTTGTGTTTTTGTGTCCATGCACACTGTAAATTTTAAGGAAGCTTTTCTACAGAGAGATTGGAGATGATTTGCACATAGCTATGTTTCCTTGAAAGAATATAAATGCATGATAACATACCAACAATAAAAATAACCTCCAAAAAATCGTAAGGTTAACATACATACAGTCTGAACAGTCTTAACAATAGACAGGTGTATTAACAGCATATCATGCTCTACATCATTTGAGTCTAAAAAATTGTGAACAAATTAAACAAATCAAGTCTACCCCTTTTAAGTTTAATCAGTGGAATTACAAAAAGGTACATTAAAGAAGTTACAAATAAATTTAGTTCTGAAAAAAAATAATATCTGTAATAAAGGTAAAATAGACGAAGAAAAAAAACACAAGAAAAAAACCCAATACCATATCAAAGTATGCTAACAGTAACCAAAAGAAAGCTCAAGCTTAACCTGCTGATATGAAATCATACTTTCCTACACATGAATATCAGTGGCTGTACTGCAGAATAGATTTTGCACAGCAATGTCATAAACATATACAGGAAGACATGATCTTGTGCTTTGCCCAGAACAAACCTGAACAGGACTTCATACACAAATATAACTGAAACTTTTAGTTTTGTTTTAACAATAAAATACCAAATTGATTTTCATCCCCAAAAATACTAGACTAGATATTTGAACAAGTATTATTATAATCTTTAGCAACAAGTCAATTTAGTCAAAAAGATTTAGAGGACTTCCTTAAAGTTTTGGCCAGTTTATGTTATCTAGATCCCTGTTGTAAAAGTCAACAATAGACTATTAATATGTCCTGTTCTGATTCACCATAAATCTTTAAAAGTTGTGTGAACAATATGGGTCTATTGGAAAAGTTTAGTTTATCACATAAATGATTTCTTTCTTGACAAATTTTAAAAATCCAGGGTGAATTAATATTGCAATAATGACCAAGAAAAGTGAAGCTATTGATCAGAGGCTTTTATGATTTTCATCCAATCCTTATAAGAAAAATATCTGTATATGGCTTTCTTTTACTACAAGAATGCATAGGAAATAGAAATAATTAAATGTTATAAAACTTATTATATACTAAAAAAAATAGATACCTGGTTTCAGGTGGTGATGAACAGAATACCTGTACAGTAGATATATTGAGTTCTAGCATCTCTGTTTACATTTTGAAAACATTTTCAGATATGTAGGTAAAAGATTTTTGTTATTTCAGGTCCGTATTACAAGTACAGAACATATGAAGACTTCATACAAAATAGGAACTCTCCCAATATACCAGTGAAAGAGTTTGTTATAGAGAGGTTAAAGTATATCCCTGTGATAGCTTTAACATTCCTGGGTATGTCCCAGTTCTTCAGTATACAGGTAATTTCAGTTTATTTATCAGATAAATGTGTGACTTGTAGAAGATATTGTCAGATACTCAAAAAAATTGAATGTTATTCTAATAAAAACCATTAAAAAATTGTTAAATGTGGCAGTATGCCAGAGGCATCTGTATTAGGCATATTTTTTATATCTCTTAAAGATGGAGGTGACTTATGGTATATCTGTAACTAAAAGAGGAAAAAAAACTACTTAATTATGATGTTATGTTTTAAATTTATTGCAGTATGTAGAAACAGAAGAATTTTATGAGCATCCATTTTGGTTCCGATTATTTTATATGGTGCCTATGTTTATGATATTCCGTACCAGACTTTACATGGCCTGGCTGGTATCAGAAAGTATGTGTATGACTTCTTCATTAGGGGCCTACCCAGTAGAGGCAAAAGCAAAATATGGCCAGGGTCCAACTGATCTTACAGGTCTAGACAAAAGGTAGTGTATGCATTGTAGGAAATGAAAATAACACTATATAAATTGTGTATGCCTAAAACACTTTTTCTGAATTAACACCTTCATCAGGAATGGTCAAAACCAAATATTTGAAAGCCAAGAATGTATTAATATCTGAATACAAAAACAGCTATATGATCCAAACAAACCTAAAAAGAATAGCCAAATTTTTATAAAACAACTTTGCCTGATGGAGTTGGAACCTTAGAAATACTACATTCTCATAATAAATGACCTTGATAAAGTTCAGTTATATGACATGAAACTAGTTAAATGCATATCATATGATCAGTATTATGACAAAATATATATCAGTATTTACAAATACCATTGTTATAGACCATATAATACTAGTCAAAATCTATTTTGATAGTTTTGGCATTTACAATTTAAGAGTTATTCCCCATTAATTTATTAATATACTAAATTTTTAAGGTTTCTGGTTGATAATAAATGTACAATTTGACAAAAGCCTTTTAAATTTTAACACAATGTCATATTCTGTAAAATACAGGTCAAGTTGATTTTGACATTTGTGACATTTACCAGTCAAGAGTTATTCCCCTTAATTATCTTAAATTAAATACCACTTAATATTATTTTACAAAAAAAACATAAGGATTAATAGTAACAATTTTTTAATGACAGGCCATAACTTACCTATTGAATATTTTGTATGACTGATCCTTGTCTCATATATATATTTGAAAATTTGCCACGTATATTAAGCCAACAAAAATGAAAACTTTTTTTTAGTTTATCAATGTCTAAATCAGACCAGAAGTATGATTACCAGACAGTGTATAATTTAAGTATTTATGGGTGTGAATTAGGAAGGACAACCAGAGAAGGGTTACGTAGCTGGAATATGACAGTTCAGTATTGGTTAGCAGCATTTGTTCATCGAAGAATACCAAAACATCTTAAAAATTATGGGTAAATTATTTACTGAATAATTTCATGAAGTTAAGGAAGATTTGCCATATGTATATTATACAAACACTCTCACAGGGTACACACATTTACATTTGTAATAGGACTAGGCAAATAGAAAAAAACATTTTGAAGAAAGCAATCATAAAAAAACAGAATAACTGCAGTAAAGTGATATAAAATGAATTACTTGAAAGAGAATCTTTTATAGAACTCTAACATGAAGAAAAACTCCTTAATGTGAAGAAAAAATTAAGCATGCACTCTTTGACTTACCTATTATTTACGTCCGGCAGAAACTTGAGTTGCTTGTTTGTTGGGCCGTCTTTTGTGTCTGTAATTTTTGGTAAATTTTCAGATCTAAACAACTAAGTATCATACAGTAGTGATCATTTTTTTGTCATGATCCCATTTTAGACACTGTCAGACCTACTTTTTATATTCACAGATGGGGCATATTATGATATACTTTTGTCCTCCATTTGACAAGCAAGGGAATTAGCTGTCTTTGGTTACATTAGCCTTTTCTTGATAATTTGTTTAATTACAAAGAAAACGCGAACTTCCATTTATACCTTGAATTGATTTAAACAAAAAACTTATTGAAATTTTACAATAGAAGACTTTCACATTCGTGCATTTCCTGTACATTTCCCATGTCACAATGCTTATGTTATTATATAACAATTAGAGTTGACTGTTCAATGATGTCATTTATGCTGTATGATGTAACTCATTGTTAAAAAAACTTGAAATTGATCCTTTAAAGGAAACAGTGGATTGAACATGATAGCTTTCAATAAAACTTCACTTGATTAATTCTGATCTAATATGATCTTATTTTAGAGTTGCAATAACAATGGCAGTGAGTGCCTTTTGGCATGGTATACATCCTGGATATTACCTCAGTTTCATGTTAGTTCCTGTTATAGTATATGCAGAGGATGCTATGATATCAACATTCCGCAAAAATAGTTCTGAACAAATGCAGTACTGGTTTGACTGGGCTTGTTTGTTTTTTAAAATGAGAGGGTTTGATTACATGTGTATGGGATTTTTGTTACTTAAACTTGACTTAACTTTAGCATATTGGAAATCCATCTTTTTTATAGGACATTTAGTTCCCATATTATTTATTATCATTTGTAAAATATTTAAGCCTAAGAAGAAAAAAGAAGAAAAGAAAGAATAAATGTTATGAATTTTTTTTTTACAGGAATATTATTTTTTTTTATTCTGTATACAATTGTTAATATAGATTTTTTTAAACATATACACTTATATATCAGGCTTTAAATTGTTAAAAAGAAATACATGTATTGCAGAAACGGTTCTTAGAATACAAACAAAGGTTATCAGAGCCTTTAATGATTGCAACACAAGACTAGGAATAAGTATATGGTACTGTGCAATATGAATAATGAAAGATGGAAAATTGGACTTATGGGAAATCAGCAAAAGTAATAGAAAAATGTTAAGAAACTAAGTTTGAAGTTTGTTCACTGTAGATGAAGTTGCAAACATTTAAATACCCGCCGGGTATTCAAATAACCAGAGATTTAAGAAAATGACCTGTTTTCACCCTTATTTCTGACCGGTATTTTTTCCGGTATTTAGAAGTCAAATATACTTTCGGGTTTTCTCAGCGTTTTTCCTTTGAAAAGTAAACAATTGAAATTAGAATTTGCTTATTTACCGTGCCAATGACAGCTATCAAAACATTACATTTGATTGAACAGTAACAATTCAAGGATTGTTTGTTAATTGTACCCCAGAAAGTTGAAGCCAGTCAAGCTTGACATACAATCTATGTTCTGATTAAAAGATTTGCTGTTTGCAAATATCAAATATCCTGTAAAAACCATTTGAAAACAATTTGAACCTTTTAATACATTTCTGTTAGAGAGAATAATTTTGTTATCACTTAAATGTAAAAGCTTTAAATCAAATCCATATGCTCTAGATATTACACTGAAAGGAAACAAATTAACTTCTTTCTATTTATCTTCCTCCTGTGTATAGGAGCACATTAGCTATAATTGATTTCTAATTATATGTGTAGCTGGGATTTATGACATTCATTAATAAAAAGAAGTAAACTAGTGTGAATAAAACAATAAAAGGGCATTGCTTTATAAAGATATTTAATTGATGATAAATATTTATATACTTAACAAATACAAAAGTGATTATTTTTAGGAAACTCAGTGGTACATGTATATGTTATAGTATATAAAAAAAACCTCTCAATACTAATATTGGACCAAAAAAGTTTGTACGCGTTATGACCTGACATTTTCTTCTTCAATGCAGATCATGAACTGTATTTTCAGTTTCAGAGGTTGACAGGTATGAGCTCAACCCTCTTCCAAAAATATATTGACATGTTGGAGGTGCATTTTGATTTTTTTTTATCTATTTACTTTTGGCCAATGTACGTGCACTATGTCAAAATACTCAGGTTTTGCTATTTTTTTGCTTTTAAGATCTTGATATTCTTCCACATGACATTACTCAAATTAATTAAAAAGTTTATAAAATTGTCCTAAAAATGGCATCATGCATTTTTTTTTTCAAGCAAATTAACAGGGCTAAGTATTAACGTCAATAAATTCATTTATCTATTGTGCCTAAATGACTTGAGCACAAATGAAGACTGAGATCAGGTGAAATACCTGACTGCAATATGGGGGTGAAATAGATGAAATATTTGCTGCTATTTTGATAATAAATTATTTAAAGCCTTGCAGAACAAAATAAAACAATAGACCATTTTCGAGTTATGTCCTTTACGGGAAAAGTTCGTCAATTATGCGTGCCTTTATGACGTCATTTATCAGATAGAGGGGACGGCCTGTATCCCTGCACTTTTAAAGTTCATCAATCTTTTTTGTGATCATCATTATGCAGGATAAACTAGAAATAATGTTTGTTCTGTAGGTACTTAATCACAATTCCCTAATGACAGCAGTGCTGATTATCAATTATAAGAATTTTAGTTTGCCGAATAATTCGTGCAATATAGCATTATATTTTTTCAAGCGCTCGCTGAACATGGGAAGGAAGTGACGATGCCCCTAAACACACAAATGATGTTCACTAAAACCAAAGTTTTTGACGGAAATGCAACGTACTCGAAAGTGGTCTATTGCAACACTTACTCTTACTTCAGAAATACTGTGAGAGAACACACACATATTACTAAGTTCAGTTTTGTATTAGATGAATAAGGAAATTTTCACTTTTAATGTAATTTATCGCAATATAGGGGTGAAAGAGTAAATGGTTCAAGTATTGGAGTTAACTGAAAACATAAAAACTTAAATGTATCATTTCATTTTACATCGTGGAATTATAAGAATTGATGTAAAATTGAGAATGGAAATGGGGAATATGTCAAAGAGACAACAACCCGACCAAAGAGCAGACAACAGCCGAATGTGTATTTTTTGCTATTCAATATTTATCATGTTAACATATAATGCTTGATTGAAAGTCTAGATAATATTTATGTTTGTTTTAAGCTTGCCGCATGTGTTTAATTTGCATTTTTCTTCACTAGTCAATTCTTCTGCAAAATTGTGCAGTTGTATAATGTAATGTGTTTGGCATAAAATCATTGTTTTCAATAGAATACTATGTTAATGTTTAGAAATATAGGTCATAATAACATGTTCAAATCATATCACTGTAAACCTATTTGAAATGCATATATACCACAATTTCCAAATTTCAATCATGTCTGGTTGTTTTACAGTATAGTAGCTACATGAATTATTGTTTTCCATAGAAGACAGAAAGTACCTACACACCTCTTGTTAAACATTGACAGCATACCCTACAGTTCTGTTTCCACACCATGGTATTATATGATTATTGTATGTAGTATCACTGATATTGTTGATTATTGCAAAACATTTGTACTGTAACACTAACATTGTTGATTATTTGAAAGAAAGGCATTTAAATGAACAATAAAGACATTTCAAGACATCTAATCTTAGTTTATTTTTGTATTTGTTTATATAGGAACATTACAAGTCATCAACCTTGATTCTGCTCATGAGGAAAGGTAATGATAAAATCCCACTATTATTCGCCCTTCATTGAAGGACTTTTATTCTTTGAAAATCAATTTGGAGTGACCTCTTTCATAGTAGTAAATGTGATGCATTGTCAATTGTCCATCAGCTGTCCCACAAAAATCTTGAGTCATTCAGTAAATGTGCTAGATCTTCATTATATGGCTTGTAAAACTTGTTTAGTAAATCTTTTGTTCTTTTATGCATTGGTCCCTGTTTTGTCTTAAGTGTTGTTTTATGAGCTTTTTCTATTTTGACTATTCTGTCAAGATCTAGTTCTGGTAGTTCTTCTGAAAAATCAATTCAATTTATATTTACATGCAAGGCTTTCAGATGTGTCTGAATTAGGATAACTGGAAATTTACACTCAGTTAATATAAGGTTTTATTAGTAAGCTATATTTAGTTATTTATGGTATTTTTTTTTTCATAGACAGAATGAAAATGATGGACAATTGTAATGACTGCTTCACTAACTGTGATTATAGACAAGTTACATGTTTTAAAGTAACTTTTTTATTGTGTTGACTTTGACAAAGGTTACTGAATGATAGACAGGGATGCTAATGCTATTACCGTAGCTCTTTGTATAAAGCTCATATTTCAGAAAGTAGAAGTGCAGGATTATCCATATCTGGTATATAGATGCTTATGTTTTAAGGTTTTGGTTTGGCATATATATGTTGTCCTTGACACTAATTTCATGGTTCAGTGACCACTTAAAAAAAAATTTATCATGTGATTTTTCAGTTATGAGCAATAGGAATTGTTGGTCAACATGGTTTTTGTAATTAGGTCTGTTCCTCAGAAACTTTAAGCAATAGATGAAATATATTTGGTATAAATAATGGTTGTAAGGTTTAAATGTCCGTTTGACAGGGTTAATCTGACCTTGACCTCATTCTCATTTTTCATTTGTCATATTCTTTAGACAATAGTTTAACTATATGAGTGTGTAAATAATGGTTTTAAGGTTTATAATTTTGTTTATCTGATAGAAACCACCTTGACCTCATTTTCATAGTACAACGGTCTTATTTTTTTATGATTAGGTCCCATTTCTCAGATACTGTAAGTAAGAGGTCAAAGAATGATTGTAAGTTGTACATGTCAATCTGACAGTGTTCGTCTGAATTTGACCTCATTTAAATAATAGTTGTTATGTGAAGGTTGAATTTTGGTAACGTTCGTTTCTAAGATGCAACTATGGTAAGCCTTTTATATGTAATAAGTCATTCAATAATATGTGCAAAAATGTATAATAGATTAGACAAAAATGTTACCAAGTTGCAGAAACTTGAAAATCTGTTTTAATGTTCCTTTAATATTTTCTGCATAATCTTCAGTCTTAAGTACCAAGATTTGTTCTTTACTGAATACTTTCAGCCATTCTTTGAGGTAGACAGCATAAACTCCTACGTGTATTCTTGCCTGAAAAATATCAGTAATAATGTTGGCATGTTTATAGGGGTTTCCGGTATGATTTGTATATTAATGAACTAGTAATAGATGATATATACCAATTCATAGATTGTGAATAATCGATTGAAAATATAAGTTGAGAAAAAAATATTTTCGGTTATCTTATTGGTATAACATAAAGCTAACAATCAAATATTGAAAATATTAGGAACAAAATTAAAAAAAGAATGGATAAAACATACAAACACCAATCATAAAAACACACAAAATAAAGGACAGACCATGGAAAATAAAGATATTTTATTTTTCGTAAATCGGTAGAATCTACGTTACCTTATACATCGCAATGTGTTTTCTATCATACAGACACGATTCCAGCGTTCTCCTTTTTATACAAAACTTGAGAAAAGTAATAGAAAACTGAACAGCATCATGGAATCCTTTACTTGTTCTTGTCTGTCCAAGTTTTAGGAACATGTAATCAGAATATAATCTGCAAGGAAAAATAGTACTGGTTAATGTGTTTGTCCTTAATATTTAAATTTTTATTTTTATTTAGAAATTTTTGTTTGTTTGTTTGTTTATTAACTTTGAATGCTGATGATTTTTTTCTGTCTGTAAGTATCAAGACTATCAGATGTAGGTCTTATCTTTTCCGGTTCATCATCCACTCCTTAAACTGTTTTTTTCCCTAAAAATTCCGTTTGGGAACAATTAAAAACGGTTTGCTCTTGTAACTGTGTTCATGTTTTTCCCACTACATCTTATATGCTTTATTGTAAAGTACATATCTTCCACTAAAATGTTTATAATATGACAATGCAGTGCACGAATCAACAGTATACAGTTTTATTATCCGTTTTCTTAGAAAAAAAAGCCCTTCTAATTCTTTTCTACAAGACACCTGGATGCTTGCTTAATTACGACCTACTTCTTGCTTACTGAATACAATTTTTCTCTGTACTAATGCATATATAGATCTTTTGTTGCTTTTTTGTAGGCAAACATAAATCGCATCTTCAATTTCTGTAGTAAGCCTTAACTGCATGAACTTGCATACATACCTATAGGTTGGATCTCTGACTATAATAATCAGTTTGACTTTTGGATTCATATGATGCATTAAGTGAGGTGTTAATATTTTGGGATGGTTTAACCGATGGTTTTGTTTGATGTTCTTCCAGCCTGAGAAATCCCAAAAATCCATGGGCGTCCCATCACCTGTATTGAAAATACAGATTTTGGTTTAAAAATTCATACAAACTAATATTGACCCGTAAACTGATGAAAACCTGTGACTATTATACTAATAAAAGTTAGTATAATGATCCTGGTGAAAATAGATTACTACTGTAATATAAACAAGTTCAATGAACTATACCTGTAACTAACTTATATTCCTTGTTGCTTGAAATATTTGCCGCAGCACCATCGAAGTAATTCAGATAATCGCCGAAGGATTCACGTGGGTGTTGGTACCGGCTTAACCATAAACCTGCACATAAAAAAATATAGTTAAAATAAAATATATCAAATAAACAGATTAACACCAATACCTATAATTTTCTTAGAAGCTGAAGCACAACTGCACGCGAAAACGTTGAAAGCAACATTTTCATAAATAAAAGTGTCGAATATTGATTGTCATAAAACATCTACATTATTTACAATATTTACACATGAAACAATCAATATCCAGCCCTAAAAATCTGACTTAAGTTTATATGAGACACTAACAGTATAAAACTTTATACAACAATTCTCAACGTTAAAACAACTAAACATTGCTCATTAAAGAAGAGGGACGAAAGATACCAGAGGTACAGTCAAACTCATAGATCGAAAACAAACTGACAACGCCATGGCCAAAAATGAAAAAACAAACAGACAAATAATAGTACAGATGACACACCATAGAAAACTAAAGACTAAGCAACACGAACCCCACCAAAAACTGGGGGTGATCTCAGGTGCTCCGGAAGGGTAAGCAGATCCTGCTCCACATGTGGCACCTGTCGTGTTGCTTATGTTATTACAAATCCGGTAAATAGTCTAATTCGGTAGGTCACATTCGTGAAAAGGGAAGGGTATTGTAGTTACGACATAAGGAACATATCCGATATCATCTGTGAAACGGTTATTCCATAACGGTCAACCAACTCGTGATGGCGTCCGTAAAATTTACGAAGGGATGATTTCAACTTCACCATTTGGAACTCTTGGTTTAATAGCTTCCTTGTGAGCAGCAATCCTCTATCAAGGAAATCATGATAGGAAATACAAGCCCGGGAATATCGTATCAATTGGAAGATATATACTCCGTATGCAGGCGCTGCTGGAATGTTGCTACATAGAAATGGAAAGTTCACAATTGGGAAGCTTAAATCATCTCTTTTGTCATAAAGTTTTGTTTTCAACCGACCCTCATTGTCAATTTCTAGGTGTAAGTCAAGATATGAGGCAGACTTAACTGTATCTGTAGTATCCTTTATCTCTAGTTCGATGGGATAGATTCGTTCAACATAGTCACCAAATTTGAATTATTTAGTGAGAGAACATCATCTATATAGCGGAACGTAAAGTTAAAGGATATTGCTAACTTCCTATCTTTCTTCCTAAGAAGTTCCTGTATGAAGTCAGCCTCATAATAATAAAGAAACAAGTCGACAAGAAGAGGGGCACAATTGGTTCCCATTGGAATTCCGACAGTCTGTTGAAAAACACGTCCTCCAAACGTAACAAATATGTTGTCAATCAAGAAATCAAGCATCTTGATAATGTCAGTTTCAGAGAATTTTTTGTTTGAATCAGAGTGATTCTTTACAAAGTAGGATTTATCCCTCCCCAGGACAAGATACTTGTATCTACGTTCGCCATTCTTTTAAATGAAACAAAGTAATACCAACTCTTTCAATTTGTCTTTTAGTTTGGAATGGGGAATACTTGTGTAAAGTGTAGAAAAGTCAAATGTTTTAATACTATTGCATGATGAGAGAGTCATAGATTCTATGTACTCTAAAAGATCTTTGGAATTTTTTAGTATCCACATCTGATTCACGCCACCTCTAGAATAGGCAGTTTCACAATAACTTTGGAGCCCGGCTTTGATTGATGATAAAATAGATGTTAATAATTTAGAAAGAGGTTTCGTGGAGCACTTGAAAGACCCAGCAATATACTGTTGTTTGTAAGGACACTTATGTAGTTTAGGTATACAGTGATGGAAGATCCAGTTCTTCATCGTTGCTTGAAATTCCAAAGGAACATAGAACAGACCTATGATTATCCAGGATTTCCTCTTTGGTAAGTGTCGTGAGGGTATATGTTGAGTTTCCAAGTGAATTGTCAATACCTAATTCATTTATCAAGCAGTTTATGTAATGATATTTACACACAAGAACGATGTTGTTTGGGGCTTTATCTGCGGGTACAACAACATATTTGTCATGGAGGTAGGACAAGTGTTTTGCAACATTTGGGTCTTTAAAAATTGACTTAGCGTGGGTATTGATAGGCCCATTTAGTTTCTTAATTCGGATTTGTATCAACGACCTCACATCCTTAAAAGTGTTACTTACATGTGATTTATTTTTATCAATAGTACCGCTTAAGTCGACGCTAGGGGCCGTCTTGACCTTGTTGTAGGGTATGAATGATTCGTTCATTGTTGAAGACCCTGCATCAACTGCCAAGATGAAGAACAGGAATAAAAGCCCTGTTCATTGATAATTTTCTATGTTTTCTATGTATTGTGTGCGATTTTGTCTCATGTACATTTACTCCATATCCTTTCATTTTCTATTGAACTAGGCTAGTGTCTGTATAAAACATGTACTTTTTAAAATTGTCCTGAAGTTATTCCTTGTCCGATTTGAAAGATATTGTTACCATTAAACACAGAAACATCTACAATTTCTTGCAATAATTGAAATATTTGTATGAATAATATTTTCAAAGGAATCGCTGTTACATTGATTACCAAAAATGTATCATTTCATATAATAAATCGGTCTTTTATCATGATCAAAACACCCGAAAGAATAATGACATTGATTGTAATTTTCTATAAAAAAGAATTAGTTAAATTTATTCGTTCAGTGTATGTTCACTTGTCTTTTGATTGAGTTAAGCCATTTCAATTGATATTTTATAGTGTGTCTTTCTATGTTGTGATGTTACACTATTGTGTCAGAAAAAGGGTGAAGGTTGGCGCCTATTAAAACGTTTAAACCCGCTGCATTTGTTTGCACCTGTCCTAAGTCAGGAACCTGATGTTCAGTGGTTGTCGTTTGTTGATGTGGTTCATAAGTGTTTCTCGATTCTCGTTTTTTATATAGATTAGACCGTTGGTTTTATTATTGTTTTATTGAAAATTAAAGTAAATAATTTTGTATATTAAATATATTACCATATCTTCTCCATGACCACCACATTGTCTCTTTGTTCAGGGATCCATCATTGCCCAATATATGTGGATGTTCTAATAGACGAAGGAAAAGATCCGTTGACCCACATTTATCTACTCCCAGTAAATGGAAGTATGGCAAACATCGGAACCTTGTTCTTGTTTCGTTTGTTTTGCACGTTTCATAGAAGCATGGGTTCTTGTATCTGTTATCATAATCAGGTGCCGTCTTAAAGAAATATATTGTGGATCCCTACATAGATACCTTGACATGTGTACTTGTTTTGTACTTTAACTTTGAAGTACTGAAAAGATACCTAATTAATGAAGTACTTTTTAGTACTTCGAAATTATTGTACTATTTAATACCATTATTTTACAGTTCTAGATTTGTATATTTTTGATGTGTGGTACATCTCAGAAAAAAAAAACTATTTTGTCAGTTCAGTACTTTTAAATTGTTGTACTTTTACTAAAATATCCTATCAAATTATAGTGAAAATGAAGTACTATATATTTGTGTACCTTTATAGTACATTTTTTTTTGTACTACATAACGGAGGTACAAAACTACTGGTACTGCAAATTTGCAGAACAAATATAGTACTGTAAAATTATTGTACTAAAACAGTAAAAATGTTTTTAGTACTATACAAGTACTATACTATTTTACTACATTTTCAGAAATGTGAAGTTATAGTGCTGACAAAGTACATGTGCAGAAGTAGCTATGTAGTATTTCGGCTCAAATGGTCTGTATACTTGCTGCCAAAAGGAGTAATTGCAGGTCATAATTGATATTAGAACATCACAATTATACTGAAATTTCTGTGAATACAAAAAATGTTGATTTAAACAATCTCATCTCATCTATTATGTCTTGGCCTTAAACGTGAAAATGTTCTATGTGAAATTTTTTTATTTTGGACAAAAAGAACTTGATAACCAAGGAAGCTTGATCTATTTGACCTGGTAGAAAATTTATACTCACCATCGATAGTAAATCTTCCATTTTTCTTCCTTTACCATTGTTCACTGGTAAATAACATACATTGGTATCTGTTTTTCTAGCATGCAATGCTCTAACTTGTTCTGGATTATTTCTCATGAGAAATCCGTACAATAATATGCAGTTGAAAACGAAGACACATTGAAATAATAATTTAATAAACTGCAATCGGTTCATTATTAATACTAATGGTGCCTTTGTCGTGAATTTGATAAGACGGTATTTGGTGACCTATAAATTATTATCCTTTTGCAACAGGACACACTAACCTTATCTAGTTTTTCGTCGGAACAAGATGTTATATAATTGATTAAATTTGGTCAACAAGAAAGAAAATGTAAGACTACAATTAAATACAATGACCAATATGTCGAACATGGATTAACACAAAAATTACTTTATTTTAGTACTTTACAGAGAACAAGCTGCAAGTACATGCTATATATATATATATTGACTTTATACTATTCCCATCAGTAACCTATGGCCGATTTTGGTGTAAAAATATGAATATACATAGACAATTCCGGTAAGGACTGAAGTAAGACTCATATGAGAGAGGCACCTGTTGGTCTGTATGGAATGTATAAATGCAACACGTTAAAAGATGCACATTGTTTTGGAGATGACGTATTTGTAAAGTGCGTTTTTATACCTATATCGTACAAGTTGACAATATTTTATCTGTCGCACAGGCATATACAGTTTTTTTTTTCTTATACTCAACTCTTACCGACGACAACGCTGTATGTGATATATATTTTTAATTATCAGATAGCCACAGAAACGGCTTAAGAGGGCTTTCGTTATGTATATATATCCTTTCCTTCTTGGATTCAGCTCATCGATGTTTGAACGGCATTTTCGGAACTTGCCAATAGATATCGTTTTCGATCCCGCGAGAGTTCGAACAAAAAGGCAGTGGAGACATCAATGAACGGCCAATAAACAATATTTTATTTAAAATACAAATAAATAAACATACACAGCAATACAGCGCAAGGATTAAAAAAAAATGAACGACCTACTTGCAAAAATGAAAACAACACGTTATATAAATTTCATGCGTCCGAAGCGCTTTTCTGGATTTACCTTCATCAGAAACGCTCAAAGCCAAATATTTGAAATCCAAGGATTTATAAGAACCGAAACAATTGAAGAGGTATATGACCAAAAATAACCTAATAAAATAGCCAAATCCATCTAAGG